ACAGAAAACAGGGGAAGGCTGCTAATTTGCAAAATGCATCTCCCTCCCTCCCTCTCTAAGCTTATATATATAAATTGTCGAGCCAGGGGTCATCTATCTAACATCTGTACATTTAGTATTTTGTTGCCTAAGTGGATGACCTTATATTTCTCCCTGTTTGTTGTTTATTTGTTCAGTCACTTCCGACTCTTTGTGACCTCATCGACCAGCCCACATTGACCATGGTCACCCCCGGCTCCTTCAACATCAAGCCAGTCACACCCATCATGCCCTTGGTCGGCCCCTCTTCCTTTTTCCTTCCATTTTCCCTAGCATCATTATCTTCTCCAAGCTTTCCTGTCTTCTCATTATGTCGCCAAAGTACTTCATCTTTGCCTCTAATATCCTTCCCTTCCGTGAGCAGTTGGGCTTTATTTCCTGGAGTATGGACTGGTTGGATCATCTTGCTGTCCAAGGTACCCTCAGAATTTTCCTCCAACACCACCATTCAAAAGCCTCTATCTTCCTTCACTCACTCTTCCTCATGGTCCAGTTCTTCAATCCATAGGTTACTGTGGGGAATACCATTGCTTTAACTATGTGGATTTGCTTGCCAGTGTGATGTCTCTACTTTTCACTAATTTATTGAGATTGGTAATTGCTCTCCTCCCAAGAAGTAAACATCTTCTGATTTCCTGGCTGCAGTCTGTGCCTTCAGTAATCCTTGCGCCTAGAAATACAGAGTCTGTCACTGTCATTTCTCCCTGTAGAAATTCATTTTGTTCTGGCCCCACTCTTAATGTCATTTTGAATTTTGATCCTATCTTCTGGGGATATTAACTACCCCTTCTGTTTTGGTGTCATCTTAGTTGTCATCTATTCCATCATCCAATTAATTCATAAATATTTTGACTAGCATTGGGTCCAGAACAGAACCCAGTGGCACCGAAATAGTTTTTTCTCTCCAGGATGAAAAGGAGCCTTTAGTAAGCACACTTTGGATTTGGCTGGTCAACCAAACACAAATCTGCCGAACAATAGCATTGCCCAGCCCACATTTTACTAGCTTATTTTGTCCTTGAATCCTGTGCCAGTAATGTATTGCCTCCTCCAGTTAATTCCTGCGATCTTGCCCCCCACTGAAATTACCAGTGCAGAAAATGTGAATGGTTTGCACTTAGATTGTATCCTGCCCATGTCTTGACAGCTCAGGAAGCCAACAAAAAGTCTGTGCACAGGTCAGCCCTGCCGATTAAAAGGTTCCGCAACCACCTGTTTTACTTCATATGGATTGCTGCACTTGCCAGGGGCACACTTGGCAGAGAGCGGCAGCATTATGAAAATATATCACCATGAAGAGAAGCTCTCAATAAAGTGCTCATGAAGCAATGAATTTTTTCCAGGTTGTTGCAATTTGCAAACCACTTGCCAGACTGTTTGCAGTAAAGACATCCTCTGCATCCAACTGGAATGTTTCAGTAGGGAAGGGGTATCTGTGTTTTAAAATAAATGCATAACTGAATACAACCATAAAAATAAATTATTACAGAACCTGCATGTGCAGCCCTCACTCTGCCATTTTATAGCAGGAAAGAGACTTGGGCAAGGTAGAGAAAAACTGTAGGTGTCAAGGGTAAGATGATCCCCCATCGGGAAAGAAAATGTGTATTCCAGGGGTCTCTTTCACATTTAGGGTCTAAATAGGACTTTGAAAGGTCCTGAAACCCCTTTATGGGTAAACAACTGTTGGGAATAATTACTTGTCAACCATCCCATTCAGCTGTCCATTAAAACATTTTTAAAAATCCCAAAGCAAACCTTGATTTTGTCATTTTATATAAGAACCACCATTTTATCTTGACATAATTTACAATGCCATGAGTATCCATGGATTTTAGTATTTGGGAGGGCAGGCTGGAACCAAATCCCAGCACATGCCAAGCCCTGACTGTTGGGGTCGTGAAAATATGCAACCTTACATTGAGTAGGCTTGAATATTGGACCTTTCTCTTTAATAGTTAACAGAAACTCTTCTGCATTGACATCCCTTGCTCTCCACCAGCTAGTAAATGCCCTTGCTATAGGCAGGATGCAGCAGCTAAAAAACAGAGTTAAGAAACCTCACCTCTGAGGATGCTTGCCATAGATGCAGGCGAAACGTCAGGAGAAATGCCTCTAGAACATGGCCATATAGCCCGAAAAAACCTACAAGAACCGAGTGATTCCAGCCATGAAAGCCTTCGACAATACATAGAGTTAAGGGATGACGGAGAAGTTGTTGCATAGTTCTTCCTGGCAGAGCTTTATGCTGCATTGTCTTGTCCCAAGATCATAGAATCATAGAGTTGGAAGAAACCCCAAGACTATCCAGTTCAACCATACTCAAAACGCAATCAAAGCACTCCCAACAGATGGCCATCTAGCCTGTTGGAAAAAATATCTGCTAACCATTAAAGGAGCAGGTGCTCTGTCCCAGTATTAAATCTGGAAATTTCAGTCCTGAGCTTTTGTGATATCCAATTTAACTGATGCAAGTCATCAGTCAATATCAATTTTCCAAGAAAGTCTTTGACATATGGAGGCAAACATTTTTTTTTCCTTTTAAGGCAGAATAAGATATGTTTATTGGTAGATTATTCAGTGTGTGACAATAACAGGGGTGAACATGTATAATTGCCCTTAAGAAATAAAAATACAAAGGCAGATTTCAAAATACATAACAGTGTCTCATGTGTAGGCATGAATAGTGGCACACAGTACATCTGGAAACATGCTTGTTCATATACAATGGTCTACACCAGTACCAGTGGCTCCCAACCTTTGGGCCTCCAGGTGTTTTGGATTTCAGCTCCTACAGTTTCTAACAGCTGGTAAGCTGGCTGGGAGTTCTGGGAGTTCAAGTCCAAAACACCTGGAGGCCCAAAAGTTGGGAAACACTGGTCTACATAGTTTGATAAATGTTTTCAACCCAAGGTGGGCTAAATGTTTCTTGTACTGAGATATTGTAATATTCATTGTGATATAGAATCATCCTTGAAATTGATCACTTTTGTGTCAGATGTGTTCATCTTGAACCATTGTCACCTTGTGGTATCTTTGTCCACATCCTATCCGAGGATGCATCCACACTGTTGAATTAATGCTATTTTAGTTATCATGGCTTAATTATGTAGTCATAGGAGCAATAGTTTGGTGAGGTACCAACATTATTTGGCATAGAAGGCTAAAGACAGCATAAATATAATCCCAGCCCATTTTAAGAGAGAAAAGAAACTTGGGAGATGCTGTTTGATGGTCTGCCATTCTACAGTAATGCATTATCTTTCAAAGACTGATGGGAAAGCACATTCCTTGGTTGTGCTGGCCCCCAATAGCTGACATTGTGTCTTTTTCCTTAATGCCCTCCAAATACAATGTCTGCTGCCACAGTGTCCTAAAGTTAATTCCACCTTTTCAAGACATTGGCCAAAATCATGTTGGCGGGTTTCAACTACAGTTAAAACATTGAATGAAATGTTGAGTGCTGAGTCAGCAAATAAGAAAAATCTTATGATTCGATGGGCTTTCTTTGAATTGAACAAAAAATAAGATTCCTCTAATTGCCGAAAAGAATGGTGGAATTAACCTTGAGCTAGTAAGTCTGGTGTTTTACTCAGTGTGTTTTTTAAAAATGACAACAATGGCAAGCGGATCAGGCTGATTGTCTAACGATGTTGTGTAGTGCTGCTGTATAATGAAATCTGCTTCTTGAACCAGCTCCACATACAAAAGAATGGTTAAAATGTACTTAAATCTGCCTTGAAATGGTTTTAATTTTCAATGACCACATTAGATTATTGAAAGAATAAGGGCAAGCACTGACAAATTATGATAGACTCACAACAGGAGACTCTGATGATTTTTCAAAGCTTCCAAATCAACCATTTCATGTGGTGGAAGGATAGGATTGGTGTTGCTGTGTTTGATCACTCTCTCAATAAAATTACGGTATATCCTCTCTATTCCAAAGCAGCTTTTGCAGATATTAAATAACAGGTACTCATATTGTATCTGACCTAACTCCTATTGCTGGACTCTAGACCAATTAAATCAGTGGTAACTTGGTAACTCAACACATATGTCAATTCAATTGGTTCAGTAAGTCTAATTATTTGAAAGTAACAATGGATTTCAGGACACTGTCTTTTTCTTCTGTGGGGTCAATATTTGCTAGCCAGGCATTGGAGAACATTTATTCAAACCAGATGTTTTGAACTGCAATTCCCACAGTGGCTTACTATTGACCATGCCAGATAGGGATGAATTGAAAATATTTCATGAACCAAAGATTTCCCAGCATTTTGCTTGTCGACAATGGGGCAGGAAAGTGAGAAATATCACCTACCCCCCCCCCCCCAAGCACACACCTTCTGTTTCTCTACTATATCCATTTACTTTAACTGCCGTCCTGAACCAATTTTAATAGACAAACACATGCCACAAGAAATATAATGTGCAGATTTGAAAATGTGGATTTGAAATGTGCGGGTATGAATGGAATGGAACTGGCTAAAAGGTGAATGAATGAAAGCTAATAATTTGAAGAACAATTCTAAGATTGAGGCCTGCAGTGACTAACTACCTGCTTGCTGGAATGTAATTAAATGTTGCTAATGAGAACTGAAAAAGTAAAGTGTGATAGCAACCGTGACAATGATAAGATAAATGTTTACATTTGTTTACATCTGTCAACCTTTGCTGACCAGAAATACTAAAGGAAATGATCTCTGTTTACATTAGTCAAAGATAATGCACTTTCAAATCAAACCCAGCACACAATGGTTCATTAACTGAAGACAAACATCTATGTCAGGAGGTGAAGACCCAAGATAATTTCAACTGGACAATAATTTACAACTTTGAGACAACATCAGTAGAATATTCCTATAAAAGACTTAATCTAACAATTCTCAAATTGTGACAGACAGTGGAGCTGTTCACTCTCCATGCTCTGTGGAGATGGTGTATGGCATCTTAGAACTGCTATAGGGAAGCAGGATTATGTACAATTCGGGCCTCCTTTTCTCAAGGGAAGAGGAAGGAGTGTGTTTTAGAGTCATGATATGTTTGCAGGGAGTCAGTTTCTGCTGTATGGAAAACAGAGATCAGGTCCTTGGCAAGTTCTTAGGGAAAGAAGTTTTGGTGTTATGGAAGTTTTGGATCTGTGCATTGGGAGGGAAGCAGGGTCTGGTCTAAGAGGTGTTCTTCTCCAGATGACAGCTGGAGGAAGAATGGTGTTGTATGCATGCTGATGGATGAATGAATATGTAGTGTGAATACTGAGTAAAAATGTAACCCCTTTCTTTCTCTGTTTGTGAGCCAATGTAACTGTAAGTTGTTTGTGAATCCAATATAGTTACATAGAATCTGTATATCTTCTTTGTGTAAAAGTGTAAAAGTTCTGTAAAAGTTCTAATATAGCCTCTCACACTGAAAATTGCAATAAAAAGAACCTGGTTTAAAGAGTATTCATGACACACACAGAGCACCAAGCTTTGGGAAAGATATCAGGAGAATATGTCACAGATTCCCAACAACATGTCAAGTTTCACTCTAAGTATGGGTACTGGATCATGGTTATACATGTGACTGGTATGTCACATGCTGATAATCCTCACTCTCCATGAGTAATGGTTGTGTCTCCTCTGAGATCTTTCTCTTCTTTCGACATCGTAGAGCAATGATGCCAACAATCAACATTATAATGGCACCCACCACAGCAGCTCCTACCAGCCATGGCCAGATCTGACGTGCCTGTTCCAAATAAGGCAGGAAAAAATTCTGGAAGGGATCGGCTGTAAAGACAGAAAAGGAGAAAGGAAGATCATTCCCTCAGTTTTCTATTATAAAACTGCAATCATTGAGAAGCCAAGACACAAGCAAGAGATAAACTGGAGTAAAGAAATGGATCCAATAATGTTTGCTTCTTGCACAACAAACTGCTTCAAACCTATGCTGATACCAAATTGTACATTAACCATATGGAAAATTGTCTTGGATTTATAGAATGTTGTGCTGTCACACGCTGGTCCTGAAATAATGTCTGTTTACAGGACATGCTCTCTGTATGCCCAACGGGACRCYGGGGTGCCTCAGCTGAAGGGTCCTTCAGATTTCCCAACACAAAGTTCWATTGAGGCTCAAGATACGTTCAACAAAGTTCTTTATTTGGGCTTAAATCTTCAAACAAATGAATTAWACACTTTATAACCTTGGAAAACCGGTAGTTTCCTCAATCTGCCAACAAGGGGCAGGCAACTGGTGGTAAACTGTTCCTTTCTTCCTTAGGGAAATCCTTTGACCCCTCCCTGGGCAATCTCTCTTTACCTTGCTGGCATGAGGCCCCTACTCCCGGCTCCAAGCTGCTTTATGGATACCCTGAGTGTTCCCTTACCAGACAAGGTTCCTGTAGATCTGCCAAGCCAAGCTGAAAGGTGTCCTTTAGTTTCTCCAYGAAGGCTGTAGGAACTATTTCTTTAACCCCCACTGTGAGACSAGAAGCTTTTGKGCAGGTGGGAAAGAGAATCCCACACGTCCTTCTGTTAGGCTTCCAACAGAGACTGAACAAAGTCCACCTTTCCCTCCAAAACCCTGGGAAAAGGGGCAGGTCTAAAGATTCTAACAATGATTGACAAGTTGTTGGCCCTCTGATTGCAACCTGAGGGAAGCTACCTTATTGCAAAATGCTTGGCTTAAATAGATTCATGCAAACTAGCAGTGCAAGAAAAGGAATTCAAATGCCAGCACAATGTACATCCTCCATGCTGAGAACTTTCTCATTGAAATTCCTGTCTTCAGACACACCATTGGCTTCTATGGAGAGTTTGCTCCCTGGAAGGAGGTGATTCTTGGTGTTAGTATCCAAAAAAGGAACTTGAGGAAGATCTATTCTTACAATCTCATTGCCTTGTAGTATATGATGACATTGAAAAACCTTGTTTCAGTGTTGGGCTATCATTCTGGAGACAGGTCTTGGTTCCATGCCTGTTCATGGAAGCCCACTGGGTTGCCCTGGGCAAGTCAGCTCCCGGAAACACATGGATAAGAGTCACAATAAGTTCAAAACAACTTGAAGGCACAAAACAACTAAGACATTGGAGAGGGATTTTTTTCATGTCAGGAATGAGATGAGAAACTGCAAGTCACTTCTGGTGTGAGATAATTGGCCATCTGCAAGGATGTTGCCTAGGGGACGCACAGATGTTTGATGTTTTTACCATCCTGTGGGAGGTGTCTCTCATGTCCCTGTATGGGGAGCTGGAGTTGACAGAGGGAGCTCATCCGCACTCTCCCAGGATTCGAACTGCCGCCACATTGGTCAGCAGTCTTACCAGAACAAGGGTTTAACCCATTGTGCCACCAGAACTCTGCAACACAAAGTTGCATAATGTAATTAACACATCTGTGCCAAAAAATTATGAACTATGCAAACTTTTTTTGGCATAGTGGCTGGTACCCAATTTTTGGTTTTGAGACTGTTGTTCAGCTGGACGACTCGGTTTGTTGAGCAGCTTGTGAGTATTGCAGAACTTAGGGTATTGGGAATGCTGCAGCTCAATAGTCAAGGCATAGATCCAAACCAATTAATGCCAGTTGATGATCTCAGGGTTTTACTGTGCTCTGATAAACTCAGTCAATACCACCCCGCAGGTAGCAGTAGGAGTAATTGATGGTTGTGGTATTCAGCAGAAACACAGGCTTCTCTTTTATTTTGCAAACTGTTAAAAATAAGTTCCTGTATCAGCAACCATTCCAGGGAAACAAACAAAAAAGAATGGAAATATTAAATACATTTCAAGCGAAGGCTGCTGCCACTACAATTTTAAAAGGGTTTCTTCTTCTCTTGCTCTCTCTTTAATATGATGTCTTTTCAAATACTTAAACATGGCTATCATGTTCCCTTCTGTTCTCCAAGCCACTCCTTACAGAGCTTGGCTTTCACACCTTTGACCATTTTGGGCCCCCTCCACACAGTTGTATAAAATCACACATTATCTGCTTTGAACTGGATTATATGGCAGTGTGGACTCAGATACCCCCGTTCAAAGCAGATATTGTGGATTATCTGCCTTGGTATTTTGGATTGTTTGGCTGTGTGGAAGGGCTCTTGGTCACCCTTCTCTTGACTCATTCCATAGACTTCAACATCAACATTTCGGAACATGAATTGGGAGCTATCGGAAAGGCGAGGTTTTCCATAAGAAGCTCATAAGAGTTTATTCAAAGCTTGTAAAAATGTGTCTTTCAGGACTACAGCCACCAGAATTCCTAAATCAGCATGGCCATGTTGGCTAGGATGATGGTGGTTCTGAGAGTTCTAATCATAAGAAAATACCAAATTATCTCTGTTTATTTCCTTGTGAGACCCGACTTTCCATTTTGCTACTTCCAACCTTTATGAAATAATTACATCTGCAGTAATCTCAAGCACTTTCCCAATAGATCTTCTCCCGCCTTGCCTGAGCCCTCCAGTGGATTGTTACCTGCTCCAATAAGCTTGAAAGGAAATTGTAATTACATTTTCAAAAATTGCCTGTTTGTGCTAATAATTAAGGGAGTGCAGATAAGGAGAGGAAAATGTCATACCATATGGTCTACTCTAACCCTCTTTTTTTTATTACTCTTTATTTTCTTTCCTCCAGACAGAAGCCCACATAACTAAAATGTATTTTGTAATAATTTCTTTTAACCTGACATTTTAATTTTCCTCCATTCCAGTCACATACAGAATAATAGGTTCATAGAAATATAGAGTTGGAAAGGGTTGCGAGAGCAATCTTGCCTAACCCCTACCAGGCAGGATTTTTTTTTTAAAAAAAAGCACTCCTGAAAGATGCTCATCCAGCTTCTGTTTAGAGACCTCCAAAGAGAGACTTATCATTTTCCAAGGGAGTTCATTTTGTTGCCAAACAGTTCTCAATAAAAAATCCCTCCTACTCTTTAGGTGGAATTTCTGGAGCATCAGAAAAAAAAAAGAATGCTTTATCTTCCACATGATAAAGCATGTGTTGTAGTTCAGCCTGTGATTATGTCTGATGTCAATGGGGATGAAGAGCTTTCTGGGCCTGTGCCTGATGTCAATGAGGATGAGGGTTTTTCTGGACCTGAGTGAAGCCCAGGCCTTGTTGAGAGGCCCGAGGTGTCTCATGAATGGAGTGCTTCTCCTGCAGATTCACAAGGTCAAATTCCTGGGAGAGGCCCACAGCAGTCTTTCTCTGAGAAACTGTCTTCTGAGGATGATTTGTCAGGTGCAGAATTTAATGAGTGTAAAGATAGAAAAAAAAGACTTTTGTAAACTGAGCCAGAGTTCTCAGGATTGGTGAAGGTCAATCCATCTGCTGCAAAAGAAAGATAAGAAATCCTTATCTGGTTGTAAGGAATGTAGTGGAATGCTTTCCTTTCAGTTCTTGGGACACAAAAAGCTTTATATTTAACAAGGGTTTTAATTCAGTCTCAGCAGTGTTGAAACTTCATGTTGGTCTTGTTTTCAAGTGGATTTCTAGTTTCATGTTTCAAGTTTTGCCAAATTCCCATTTCATGTATTTGATTCCATTTTGTCTTTTTCTCTGAATTTTGCATCCTTGGATCTTGTGTTTTTACCTTTGTACCTTGAAGTTCATGGACTATCTTTTTTCTTTGGATTATACTGTTTTGGACTTTACTGTTTTTACCAGTTTTACTGCTTTGCTTATATATTTTCTTCAATAATCTGCTTGCTGATTTTACTATACTGGTGTGGTGTTTAAGGACAGCAGTGTTCCTCCTCTGGGATAAAACAGCATGTTTAAATACCTGAAGGAATGGCATGTAGAAAGTTTACCATGCTTGATTTGTACTGCTCCAAATTATAGCATATGGTCTTAAATATGTGACCTGCACCAGCTTCTTTCTGATTGTGGAAGCTAAACAGATTCAGCCCTGGTTAGTACTTGGATGTGAGACCCCCAGCAAATACTTCAAGATGCTTGCAAGATGAGAGATTATAAAGTATGGTGCCACAAAGTGTAAGGAGAACTTTAGAGATTTGGAGAGACTTTGGAAGGGATGTGAAGCTTGGTTGTAGACTCGACAATGGTTTCAGATTCCAGACAATGAACATCCAAAGACCAAACACATTATCTGTATTTTGAATGTAATAGGAATATACAACTAGATGCTTTAGAGCTTGTGATTTCTTTCTAACCTCACCTGAATGGGACTGTTTTTAGAACTTTGTAACTACAGTACTATTAAGTAATGCCCAAAGGAAGGTGACTTCAAAACAAGTTACTTTTTTTTGTAATGTAAGATAGCTTACTTAGAATAAAAGCTTCCCTTAAAAAATCTCCTCTTGCACACTTTATGTTTCTTTGGTCATTCCCCATATTTCCTACTTCCTCTATATATGAAGAGATTAAATATGAAATTATTAATTCAATATTCATATTTTACCTGGATTTGTTAGATATTCATAGTCATATCCCAGTTCTATTGAAGATATGAAGAATTCCCCATTCCTGTAAAGTGGAATGAAGGGGACCATGTAGGATTCACGGTTGTGTCCAATTGGGGCATTGGCTGCAGGATAAACCTCACGTAGAGGTCGGTGTCTTCTAAGCCATTGTTCAAAAATGCTGTGAAAAGAGACATTGATGTAAGCATCACACAAGGATCTTCTTGCATCAACCCAAAGTAGGCAAAAATCATTAATTTATAACAAAGCCATCAATTATGTTTACTACAACTCACACAATGGAAAATGGTCTTCACCCAACATAGGAGTAGTATGGAAAAGACTTGTTTCAGTACCACCACTGAAAATGCTCTGTCTTGTGAAATATGCTTCACGCTTGCAGTGATATAGCTCCGATACTCAATTGAGCTGATCAAAGACATTGTATCATATGGGGACTAACACAAATAGAGTAAGACCCCATAAATGCAGAACTTATATTTGCAATTTCACTTACCTGTGTCTGGGGGAAATGGTCTCTTTAGAAATTTGCTAGGTTCTCCAAGCGATTCTATGGTATGCCTCTTTCTCCCCTTGCAGCATTAGCATTGAGTCATGCTGGAGGATCTAGCAAATTCTTAGAGCAAATATCTCTGTTGGAAGCAATAAGTCCTTCAGCTGCTGGATAATGATTTTAACAGGACGACACTGGTGGTGATATGTTTTTAATGGTTTTAAATGGTTTTTATGTTATGTTGAATGTTTTTAACTGTATTTTTATGACTGTATGGCATCAAATTCTGCCAATTCTGTAAGCTGCCTTGAGTCACCATAAGGCTGAGAAAGACGGGCTACAAATGCAGTAAATAAATAAATAAGTAATTCAGCTAAACTCTGGCAGGCTAGGACTGGACATCAGGCAATTTAATGGCATGCAGCTGTATCTATACTTTAAAGTAACTGTGACCCTTCTGGAAATGTAAGGTCCATGGATAAGGGGTCTCACATTTTTTTTAAAAAAATCCTTCAATATGTAGGGAGAGAAACAAATCCTGTTTGCCTGGAGCCTCTCATAAGGTTTCATATGTCCTAATTGGACCAAGGCAGAATACAGGGCTAGCATAACTTCCCTGGATCTACACACTATACTCCTATTGATGCAGGCCAAAATCCCATTGGCTTTTTTTGCTGCCGCATCACATTGTTGGCTCATGTTTAACTTGTTGTCCACGAGGACTCCAAGATCTTTTTCACACGTACTGCTCTCGAGCCAGGCATCCCCCATTTTGTATCTTTGCATTTCGTTTTTCCTGCCAAAGTGGAGTATCTTGCATTTGTCACTGTTGAACTTCATTTTGTTAGTTTTGGCCCATCTCTCTAATCTGTCAAGATCGTTTTGAATTCTGCTCCTGTCCTCTGGAGTATTGGCTATCCCTCCCAATTTGGTGTCGTCTGCAAACTTGATGATCATGCCTTCTAACCCTTCATCTAAGTCATTAATAAAGATGTTGAACAGGACCGGGCCCAGGACGGAACCCTGCGGCACTCTGCTCGTCACTTCTTTCAGGATGAAGAGGAAGCATTGGTGAGCACCCTCTGGGTTCATTCGCTTAACCAATTACAGATCCACCTCACCGTAGTTTTGCCTAGCCCACATTGGACTAGTTTGTTTGCCAGAAGGTCATGGGGGACCTTGTTGAAGGCCTTACTGAAATACAAACATGCTACATCCACGGCATTCCCCACATCTATCTAGCTTGTAACTAGGAGACCAATGAGAAAAAGAGACACATCATGCGATAAATCCAAGGCAAAAAAAACAAAAACAAAACACTGTTGTAGTTGCAATTTGTGTGCTTCCTGTTATAAAGTCCTAAGTAGCGAACATAAATATAGAACGGTTGCCTATAATTATACATCTAAAATTATTCTGCATTCAAGGCAAATAAATACAGTCTTCCTGAAGAAGAAACTTGATTCTTCATGGCAACAGTCTCAAAAGTGAAGAAGTCAGTTACGCCTTGATTTCAAGGCAAGTGCTTTTCAATTATGGCAAGATAACCATGTTAGCAAATTACACTTCAAAATGTCTGCAGAGATAGGGAAAAGGGATGCTCTTGGGAAAAGCAGTAATGGTTTAGATTTCATAGATTGTTTATTCAATAAAGCCATGAAGAAGTGCCATTGAGATACAACCTGAAAACAATAATGCGAAATTGCAAGTAGATCAATTTTTTCATCATGGACTCATGCTAAAGAACACAGTATTTTTCCTGCTCTTGGCAATGTATTCTTATGTAAGAAATTTACTGTTGACATTTTAATCACAAATGTATTTGATTCCCCACCTCTCAGAATAAATACAGAACTGGAGGCCATTTGCATCTTACAGTGCTTACAGGTTGTTATATGAAAACAATAAAATAAAATAAATGTTGGATAAAGTGCACATTTGAAAATTGCACAAACCCTGCTGTGTACATTTCTAAGCACAATATAGTGGTTTGAGTGCTGGATTCTGAGACCACAGTTTCAATCCATGCTCAACACAGAAGCCCACTGGCTGACTTTGGGGAAGTCAAATTCTCTCAGTCTCAGAGGAAGGCAAAGGCAAACTCTCTTTGGAAAAAAAACTTTCAGGAAAATTATTTCATATGAGGGTTGAATGAAAAGTAATGCCTCCACCTTCGTTACTTGGGTTTGGATGGGAATATTTTAATAAATCAAACACAGAAATAATTCTTAGAATGTGCTCTTTAACTACCACTATTCACTTTTCCACATAATCACCAGACATTTCTTCTAACAATGAACAAGTTTTCTGAAGCCATCACGAAAGAAGTCAACACTCTGTTTCCTCAACTCATCGTAAACAGATCTTCCGATAAGCAAGCAAAGCAGTAATGTGACACACATGTTCTTGTGAAATGCTGATTATGCTTGAAATTTCTCTCTGAGTGATATGATGATAATCCTGAATCAATCTGTCACTCTTTTGCTTGTGAAACTCAGTGGTTGCTGTCACAGGATGTCCAACTCTTTGTTTGTCGCGCACCTCAACATCTTTATACTTACTCACCCAAAGGCGCACAGTACTCACAGTAACACAATCACCATAAACAGCTTGCATTCTCTGATTAATCTCCTTTGGGGTGACACCTTCTGCTGTCAGGAATTCAATGACTGCACGTTGCTTAATTCGCATTGACCAACCGTCTGTGTAGGGTTCCATACTTCGCACTTTAACAACACAACCATTCAATGCTAAGACTTCCCACCAAAATGGAACTGTAGAGGAGAGTCTACTGAACAAGCCAGTATCTGCCACATACCAGTACGGCCATCTGTTGAAGAGTTACAAAGCTGGAGGCATTACTTTTCATTCAACCCTCGTAGGTTCTTTTTAGGTTTGCTATGAATCATAAACAACTTGAAGGCACAGAACAACAACAACCCATTACTATAAGCATGTTAAACAGCATCTGTGCAAAGCGCAATGCCACATATATTTCAAAGCTTTTTTTTTTAAATAGTAGGCCTGGGCGGTTTCGTTCGTTAATTTCTTAATTCGTTAAACATTCGTTATTTTTAGCATTTACGAAACGATAACAAAACACATTTTCAAACCCGGAAGGGTTTAAAAATAACGAACCGGCAACCCCCATTGTTTTAACGAGCTTCCGCCCGTTTCGTAAATGGGATGGAGGCTGCTGGTGCCCTGGGAGCCAATCCGGCGCTCCCAAGCATCGTGTTTCCCTCCCCGGTAGCAAGCTAGCAAGCGGCGCATATGCCCCACTTCCAGTCTCTCCCCTCCTGCCAGCCACCTTTGCTCTGCTGCTTCCCTCCTCTTTCCTCATGCTGTCTTCCTGGGCAGCAGCTTCAAACTATTATTTATTACTATATATCAGGGGTCTTCAAACTTTTTAAAGGGGGGGGAGAGAGATTACTGTCACAGCATGGGTAAGAGTCTTAATATAACAGCAGGAAATTCACGAATATGTTTACTGATCAGCCGATCAGCCGAACTATCAGGAATGTGGCCTCACATAACCCAGCTTTTTCCACACAGCCATATAACTCAGAATCTCAAAGCACAAAATCCCCCAAAACGGGCTTTAAACTGGATTATATGGCAGTGTGGCCTCACATAACCCAGCTTTTTCCACACAGCCATATAACTCAGAATCTCAAAGCACAAAATCCCCCAAAACGGGCTTTAAACTGGATTATATGGCAGTGTGGCCTCACATAACCCAGCTTTTTCCACACAGCCATATAACTCAGAATCTCAAAGCACAAAATCCCCCAAAACGGGCTTTAAACTGGATTATATGGCAGTGTGGCCTCACATAACCCAGCTTTTTCCATACAGCCATATAACTCAGAATCTCAAAGCACAAAATCCCCCAAAACGGGCTTTAAACTGGATTATATGGCAGTGTGGCCTCACATAACCCAGCTTTTTCCACACAGCCATATAACTCAGAATCTCAAAGCACAAAATCCCCCAAAACGAGGCTTTAAACTGGATTATATGGCAGTGTGGCCTCACATAACCCAGCTTTTTCCACACAGCCATATAACTCAGAATCTCAAAGCACAAAATCCCCCAAAACGGGCTTTAAACTGGATTATATGGCAGTGTGTCCTCACAGAGGAGGGGTGGAGGGAGAGAAGGAGAGGCAGAAGGAGAAGTGAGGAGAGGGAGAGGGAGAGAGAAGGGGGGGAATGGAAGGAGAGGAAAGAGAGAGAGAGAGAGAGGAGCTAATTGAAGAGAGTAGGAGGCGGATCTTAGAGTGCGATGCGCAGCAGACAACAGCTTCAAGTGAAAGAACAGACAAAAGGCGAGGGGGAGAGAGGAGAGAGTGGGAAAGCGAGGAGGGGTGAACTGAAT